GCGCGATCCCTCGGCGGGACCCAGCCCCCGGTTGTGTGTGTGGGAAAACGTGTGGGAGCTCCGCGCCTGAAGTGCCGGGAGCTGGGGCAGCTGTCCCGTAACACGCTGTGCCCGCAAAACCCCGGTGCTCACCCAGAAGACATCGCTGGAGAAAAATAACGAGTTCTAGTTATCGGCTGGACGCACAGGAAGAGCCCAAAGGGATTTTTCCAGGGAAAGCTGACTTGGCATAAGCGAGGCCAACAGCCTGTCTGTGCGAAGGGAGCGGGAGGGTGAATCCTGCTGGAGCTGAGCAGAGCTGAGCTCCCGTGGGATCAGCTCTGGTCGCAGAGGAATCAGGCTCCCTCTTAGGCTGAGATAGATGGCATTTCCTTGAAAAACAAACACAGATGGCCATCAGAGCTTATTCAGGAGCTCGGATCTTTCTGGACAGTTCAGGATTGGAGACCAGCACTGTGTCTCAAACCAGAGCTTGTACAGTCTGTAAATGTGTTTCCTTTTCTTCAGTGTAAACCAGTTTTTATGGTGAATAATGATGGGTGCAGAAAGCAAAGTTTGCGGTTTCTTATCAGTGAAGACCTCTGAGTATAGAGTAGGAAGGGTGTTGTTAGGTAAACGTGTTCCTGATAATCAGTTTGACTGGTGGGCATGCATGACATGGGACTTTGCATATATGACACGGGACTTTTCTCTTGGCAGCACAGTCTGTGCTGTTAATGGGGTTCCTGACTTTCTAAAATCAAATACATAGTGAGTGTCATGTGACATAATTCTTACCCAAAAGAGGCTCACTCAACCTCCTGGTGATTGCTTGGAGCAAGAGCTACCTGCATCAGACTGACTTGTAGCTGAAGTTGGGTGTCGCTGAAGCTCACTCTGTGTGGAGCTACTGTTTCTCTGCCATTGCTATAATTTCTTTTTAAAACACTGACAGTTATTACACTGTTAGTTAGTCAATGTTTAGACTGTTACTTCTTGGTGCTGCTTACAAAAGATCCTTTTCTGTACAGCCTGTGTTACTCCTAAGATCCTGGCTTGCGCACCAAGATGCAGATACAGTGGCAAATAAAGTAACGAGATAGTATTTAATATATAACTTCTAATATTTCACATTAGTATTGCTCAGAACTGAAGGAATTAATGTTTTCACAAGAAAGAATTATAAGATACTCTGTATGTCAAGAAAAACCACCAGTTGGGTGATTGGGTACCTTCTGTCCTGATACCTACATCTCTAAATCCTCAACAGAATTTATTGATTTTTCAGTAGCATTTGTTATGCCTGTCTGCACTGACACGGGAGCATTTATGGCAAGTTGCAACTGTAAATATCAAGGCAGTTGGAAAGGACAGCCAAAGTAGGAAGTATCAGTAGTTTGTCCTTTTCTTCCTGTGCTGCTCCCCACCCCCTTCCGTGGGTTTAGGGCAGGGTTTGCAAATGATATTTCCTTTCCACTCCTTTTCAGCGTAGTGATCATAAATGGATTTCACTTTCTAACACTCTCTAGGAATTCGCTCACTATCATATGACAGATCTGGCTTTGCTGTCAGTTTAAATGGGATGTGTAATAAGTGTAGATCCCACTGCTTGAAACCTTCTACGAAGAAAAATGTGGGAGGAAGTAGAACATTTCTACTCAAACTGCAAAGAAAAGTGTTGGTAAAGATATTTCTGCATTTATGGTATGTCTGAAGCACTCGGAATGCACACACAGCTTGAGAGCTTTTGTCTAAAAGTGATTTTTAAATTAGAATCCTAGTAGATCCCACAGGAGAGGGGAAAAAAAAAAAGCAAAGCCTGGTGAAATACAACTCAAACTGTAATAGTATGAAACGGGAAAACTTGCTGGAGTGAGTATCCCACACACTGGAACCCAATGCAAGTTAATTCACACTGGCAAGAAACAGCGAGGGACATAAGGCCACCTTTTAAAAGAAAGGGGGAATTGGCATCTGGAAGGCTTGCAGAGCAGTAAGAGGAACAAAGCTTCCAGATCTCTTCTGATGCAGAACTGTGAACTTTAACTTTGCACTTATTGACAAGTAAAGTTTGATAAAACAAGGCTCCCTGTAGTAACTTTTCTAAGGATGTGTATTCCGGACTAACAAGGAGATAGTGTTTAGTTACTGCTAGGTAATCCCTACGAGCAGGCAGGGATGTGCTGCCGTCTCTGGCATTCTTTTAAGGAGTATTGTATTTTAAATGCTCGTCTCTTGTACTTCTTGAGGCTTACATAAGCTGAAGGATAAAGGATACTGTTTAGAGAATGTTAAATACTATTCTCTATGCAGATTAGGCAAATGATCAAAGTGCACTTTAAGATTCAAGTATGGAATGCAGGAAAACAAATGTTTTTAGGTCTTTTAAAGGCCATCCTCCTTTAATTTTGCTCCTCATTCCTTTTTGAGCATCCATACCAAAATGATTCATTACTGATTGTATGTTAGTTCTGTATACCTTCTTGTTTATAAGGTCATTTACAAATTTAACCATGAACTAACGAAGATTTTGTATCATAAACCAAGTTAAAAAAATCTTGTTTTAAATGCTGTAAACCTGGACACAGCTGAGTGAGTTGAGGAAACAGAGACTAAATAAACATTTGAATTATCTGCACTTTAGCAGCTTCTCTTTCTACTAAATGTTTGTCACTTAGTGTTATAGCAGTTAGACTATGTTCCTTCTGTCACAGACGGCACCTTCAATTTCTCTGCCTGCTCATTCTCTTCTAGGGTGATCCTCAACCCCTGCTTAGTAGTCCAGCCTAAATCTGGAAAGTGCCAAACTTCTTAATGTGAGGTCGATCTTTATGAAGCCAGTTGAAAACTCACCTGTGTATGTTGATGGTACCTGCTGGCAGAAATGTCAGTTCCTGGAGCGGCAGGCCTGCTGTTCCTCCTCTGCTGGCTTCTCTGTTGCCTGCAGGTAGAAATAACGCAGCAGAGTGAGTGCCAGAAGAGGAGGTCTGCTTTGAAAATAAGGCTCCTGAGTGGGTGGGTGACTGTGGCCTGGTATAGAAATGGAATGCAATGGCAGACCACAGGGACTGGGCTGGATGAGGGCAAATTCAAGTACAACCTGACAGTTTTTTTGCATAGGCGAACTTCTACACCTTGTTGGGAAACTTGACTGTCATATTTCTATTTGAGATGTATGATGCTCTTAATGCCCTAGTTCTTACAATCTAAAGCCTAGTTACTAAAAATAGGAAGTTATTTAATGGCTTTTCCTACTCTCCTTTCTTCCCCCAAAACAGGTCTAAAAACATAAATCAACTTGATTGTGTTGGACACAGTTGTCACTACATGGTAGTGCAGGTGATTCTTCTTGGGTCAAGAGAAGTGCTTTTCACGAAAACTGGCACTAGGTACTGAAACAGGCTTTCTTTTTGGTTTATATCATAACTTGTGGGGTTTCTCCACCTCATTGAAAGGACCCAGGAATACCATTTCTGTTTCT